AAATCACTTGTATCACCACAATAGTTAGTAAGTACAGTAAAACAGAATTTTTTACAGTAAATCACTATAGAAATCACCAATACAAATCTAACATAACCATATCTAAATCACTTGTATCACCATAATAGTTAGTAAGTACAGTAAAACAGAATTTTTTATAGTAAATCACTATAGAAATCACGTTTATTCCAATACAAAACTAACATAACCATATCTAAATCACTTGCATCACTGTAGCTTATAAGTACAGTAAAACAGAATTTTTTACAATAAATCATTATAGAAATCACTCCAATACAAAACTAACATAATCATATCTAAATTTTTTGTACCACTGTAGCTCGTAAGTATAGTAAAACAGAATTTTTTACAGTAAATCATTATAGAAATCATGTTTATTCCAATACAAAACTAACATAACTATATCTAAATTTCTTGTATCACTGTAGCGAGTAAGTACAGTAAAATAGAATTTTTTATAGTAAATCATTATAGAATCACGTTCATTTCTAGAAGTTGACAGGGGTCAACAGTTCGAAAAACTGGGCTAAGTACAACATGACCCGATTCAGATCATGTGCCTAGCCTACCAATCAGGGGCAAGTGATCCACAAGCCACTCACCTGCCACTATAAAAAATTAGCCTATAAATACAAATCTCTAACTCAAACTAACTCTAACCAGAAAGCGTCAAATTTCACTTTAGATTCTGCATGCACAAGCATGGATAGAAGCTCAATCCTACATGCTACAAGCAGCACCACAAACAATAAAAATCAGAGCAATAATGGAAATAATATGGTTTTAAGCATCGATATCTCTAACATTGACGTTAATACAAAAGCATATATAGATACAGCCTGCCAAGCATCGTCAAATGCAATTATCTGCATCATCAAGTCATACATTGATCAGATGACTACAATACAAATGGACCTGATTAGTAAGATGAACAAACGATTAGATATTTTTATCACTCAACAGCAAAACCAGAACCCCCAACTCAATAAAGATAAAGAAAACCAGGACAGTATCACCAACAGAAGTCACAAATATGATTTTAACTTCACCAACCTCCAGGACCCAGACAAGCAAAATAGCAGCAATTCAAATAAACAAGGTAATTGTTCCTTAACCCTCTTCTAAACAATCTTCTAATAAGTATAAACGATACCATCGCACAAAACAAAAAATACACTACAACAACGGCTCTGCAAAATAATGAGACAATAAGAATAAAAATGATCAACTAAAAGTACCCCTTCATTGATTACATTGAGACAAAAAACTTCTCACCCATGCTTAGTTTTAATAACTCTCAAATGGCACTCAGTGAAAGAATCTAATTGTAGTGGGTTTTAAACTGGCAAGAAGGACAAAAAATAATAGAAATGATTTTCAACAAGCCAAACTTATCTACACTTATGGAAAGCTGTCGCCTTTGGATCATATATCGACTTGCACGAATTTGCATACAAAAATATGAAACTGTGTTTAAAGAACAATGAGGTACAATAGCTATTTGAAAATAAAATGGTCACAAAAATTCAACGATATCACCAAATGGCTTCTTGCATTTAAATAATACATAGATACCATACTCATAATCTATGACATCAAAGAACAAGAATTAAATGCATACTGCAACCACATCAACTCACTCTGCATAAAATAAGAATTTTTTGCTATATAGGTATATGATAAAGACAGAAGATTAAATCTAACCATTAATTGTGATACAACTTTACTTGACCGTGACTCAGAGGCAGAAGATGAAAACTTTGATATTACAACTATAAAAAAATATCACACCAACAATCTTTAACGCACACCCAAAACAGATGTATTTTGGCACAATGGTAGCAAATATGCATAAATTGGAACAAAAAAAGATGTTTTGAAGAACTCAAATACTAGTAGATATACGTATACTTGATTTGCAGAAAGTTAGGCCACCTGAAATATAGATGCTTTCACAACAAATCACCCATGAAGAAACAACCAAACATTCAAGACCACAGCTTCAACAAGTAATCAAACAATAGTCAAAAATGATATCTATAACAACAATATCAACAATGCCAATGATGATAGCAGTTAAAAAAAAAAAAAACAAAAAAAAAAAGAATAAATACAGGCACAAACGTTTGAATACATATCTATACAAAAAAAAAAATAATAACAATAGCAATATATATATACACGGATATATATAGACATACTGTAAGCTTAAACAAAAATAAATAAGAAAGATGGAAGGGGGAAGTAACTCATAGGTCAACATTAACCATAATACGAATCAGCATGACAATATTAACATTATTTACCAAAAAAAAAACATATACTCACCTCACGATGGATTACACCAATGTTGCTAAAAAAAAAAAAAAAAAAAAAAAA